CCACTGAAATCAGGAACCAGACAAGGCTGTCTACTAATTCCACTCCTCTTTAATATAGTGCTTGAAACTCTTGCAAGAGAAATAAGACAAAAGCAGGAAATTAAAGGAGTAAAGTGATAATTGGAAGAGATCAAATAATCCCTTTTTGAAGACAATATGATATTATAGCTAATAGACACCAAAAATTCTAGCAGAAAACTAGCAATTATTAACACGTTCAGTAAAGTGGCAGGTTACAAAATTAACTTACAAAAGTCTATAGCCTTTCTATATACCAATGACAAGCAGTCAGAGAAAGAGCACAGGGAAACCCTCTCATTCACGATAGCCACAAAAAAAATAAAATATCTTGGAATAAACCTGACCAAAGACATTAAAGAGCTCTACAAAGAAAATTTTAACTCTTTAAAGAAAGAAATTGAGGAAGACATCAGAAGGAAAGATCTCCCATGCTCATAGATTGGAAGAATTAATAATGTGAAAATGACCATCCTACCCAAAGTCATTTAAGTATTCAATGCAATGCCAATCAAAATCCCCATGACATTCTTCACAGAATTGGAAAAAACCATCCTAAGATTCATATGGAAGCACAAAAGACCTTGGATAGCCAAAGCAACCCTGAGCACTAAATCAATGCTGGGGGGATTACTATACCAGATTTTAAACTATATTACAGAGCTATAGTCATAAAAACAACATGGTACTGGCACAAAAAATAGACCCTTGTATAAATGGAACGAAGTTGAAGACCCAAATATGAGTACATTCAATTTCATCCACCTAATATTTGACAAAGGAGCCAAGAACATTCACGGGAGGAAAGACAGCATGTGAAGCAAATCATGTTGGCAAAACTGGATCTCCACCTATAGAAGAATGAAACTAAACTCCTGTCTTTCACCTTGCACAAAATTCAGCTCCAAATGGTTTAAAGACTTCAATGTGAAGCCTGAAACTCTGAAACTGTTAGAAGAAAACACTGGCAATAACCTACAAGATATAGGCATAAGAAAGGATTTTCTAAACCAGACATCAATTGCTCAGGAAACAGTCAGGAATCAACAAATGGGACCTCATTAATCTAAAAAGCTTCTGTTTATCAAAGGTCACAACCAAGGAAGTAAAGAGAAAACCCAAAGAATGGGAGAAAATCTTCACCAGCAACACATCTGGCAGGGGTTTAACGTCCAGAATATATAACGAATTCAAAAAACCCAAAGAATCAAGAAAGGAAGTAACCCAATTATAGGATGGGCTAAGGGAAACGTGTTCAACATCATTAATAATTAGGGAAATGCAAATTAAAAACTTTAAGATTTCATCTTACCCCAGTCAGACTGGCTAAGATAAACAGAACAAGTGATACCAAATGCTGGAAAGGATGTGGGATTGCAAACTTGTTCAACCCCTATGGAAAGCAGTGTGGAGAACTAGAAAACTAAAAATGAACCTATCATTTGACCCAGTTGTACTGCTCCTTGGTGTATACCCAAAGAACTCATCCTATCTCAGAGACACTTGTACATCCATGTTTATTGCTGCTCTTTTCACAATAGCTAAGAGATGGAAGGAACCTAAGTGTCCCTCAACTGATGCATGGATAATGAAAATATGGTTCTTTTGTATGATGGAGTTTTACTCAGAATTAAAGAAAGATGAAATCATGAAATTTGCAGGTAAGTGGATGGAACTAGAAACTGTTACACTAAGTGAAGTAACACAGACTCAGAAAAAAATTGACGTATGTTCTCCCTCATATGTGGCTCCTAGCAACAAATGGGGTTAAAATAACAACAAATGGGGGAAGGGAAGGTTATATAAGGAACCTAGGGGGTAAAGGGAAAGAAGGAGCTCAAGAGAGGTGGGACCATAGGAGAAGGGTATTTTTAAGGGAGAAATAGGAAAAATTGGGGCACTTTAAATGGGGAACCATGGTGGATGGGTTAGACAATGCGAGAGATAAATAATGCCTCCCTAGTTTTTTAAAAAAAACAGAGGGAACCATATTAATTGAACAACCTACTGACAAATTATACATACAACTAGCTCAAGGATATAATACATATCTAGGCAAGGTTAATCTGAGAACATTTGCCCAAGCTTTATCTACATACACATGATAATTAAAAGTGCCAGACTAGTGGAACTACCCTTCTTGGATGTTTAATAACCATACCTTGAGGCCTATACTAATTTGGTCAGAGGGACATAAAGGACAGTTTTTGCTCCTTGCCCTCCTAGGTCTACTAAGCTCCAGGCGACTCTGAGAATCTCTCAAAATGTCCTGTAACTCTGGTGACCCACCTGTCCTCTTAAGGTCAAGGAGGCCATGGAGACCCCACCAAATGGACTTGAACCAGTGTCCAGTCTACAAAGAGGAGGGTCAACACAGAGGAAACATTTCCTCCATGCTTCCAAGTGAAGCCAACCATGGTCAAGCAGGACCTGTGACTTATCTGCAGATAGATGAAACTGGTAAAAGAAAGGAGCCAGGGCCTCCTCCTAAGCCCATGTGACCCCTGAGGAACAGATCCTCAAATGACCTTAAGAGTAAAAATAAATTGGTTTATCTGGACCAACTGTATGGTCTTAAACACCCAAATGAAATGTATAACCAAGGATTAATGGGGTCAATATAATTTTTTAAGAGTCCATATGTATAGCTAAAGGCTACATAACAAGAAACAGTGCCAGACAAGAGATACTTTCCTTTGCATTGTTGGCCAGTGTGGCCCAAGAGACTCCCAGACAGAAACCCAGCATAGAACTGGGAAAATGAACAGCAGACCCCAATCTTATCTAAAGGAATATTGACAACCGATTGCTGCTAGATGAGGGACAGCTTATTGTCCTAAAACAAGGAACTACAGACAGGGTGACTAGATTCAGCAGATGGACAAGCACTGGAGAATGGATGGGGGTGCTGACAACACAGCGGGCAGTCACAGGGGCGACAGAGTATTTAGGCTCCAGGGGGCAGGGGGGGTATGGTAGGGTGCCATTTGGGATGTGGGCATATCGATGAATAAGACTGTAATGTGGTGTATGAAATGCACACAAAAAATCAACAAATTAAAAAAAGTTATAATTGAGGAAGAAGCATAAATATTTGCTTCATGTTAATTCATAGAGGTGGAAAACATTACCACTGAAATCTACCTGATGATTTTATATCCATGCTCAGGTGCCAAGGATCTGAGAAAGTAACTGACTGTGAGTAGTAATAATCAGATACATAGCGATTAGAGATGCATGTGCAAACATGTAAGTGTTAGTAGCATTAAAAATGAGTTTTTCTGTATGACTGAGTATATTTTAAAATGAAATGGAGTTCTTTTTTAAAGGTTAAAAACTCATTCAATTTTATGTCTTATAGGGTTTATACTGAGTTCAATATTGTATAACTGTATTAATTCAACGGTGAACCTAAAAATTTACAGCCAATTTTGAAAGAGATGCATCTTTGCTCTGGAAATTGTTACTGAATATGTTAAAGCTGTAATGAGATGCTTCTTCTAATCATGTGGTTATTAAATAAATAATTTAAAAAACATTTAAAAAAGTGAAATAAACCTTTTCCTTCCAAGTTAAAAAAATTTGTCTTGATGTACAATGTATGGCATGTTTCATAAGACAAAGAGCTATCAATTTTCTCTTGATATTTTTGAGACAGGGTCTCCCTGTAGCTCCAGATAGCCTGGAACTCACTATGTAGACCAGGCTGACCTTGATATCACAAAGATCCACTTGCCTCTGCCTCCGGAGTGCTGGGATTAAAGGCGTGCTCCACCTTACCCAGCTGTTATCAATTTTTGAACTGCATCAAAATGCTGCATCTAAAAATTTTAGGAACCAAACAATAACCAACATTTAAATGACATATTCATACCTGACAACCAAAGAAAAATGGTATTCCCTAGATCTTCTTTAAAGTCATCATTAAAGAGGCTACTGGATTCTGGAAATGATTCTTGGAATGCTGCATAGATAGCTTGTGCCAAACAATCAGGATACACCTGCCAAATGGAGCCACATTTGATGGATTTCATACTTTATAGATCATAACTATCAAAGATATTATTGTTTGTGAAATAGATATGTGTCCCTTTTTCCTTATACCTTGCCTTTAGCCATTTTATTATTTCTTTCTAACTCTAATTGAGGGACATGAGAAAAAATAGCTGAAAATAAGAATATATATTAACATTTTGCCAAAAAAAACTGAATAAAAGATGAAGTTATCAAATAAAGCAGAGTTTGACTAGTTATTTACTACATTTAATCTTGCTATGATTTTCTTTTTACATTTTTAATATTTTATTGAGTTTTTGTGCATTTCATATAAACATCTTAATCAAATTTACACCCCCTCCACCTCCCCACCAACCCATACTCCCCCCCCACCCCCGATTTCAGGTATTCTGTCATATGTTAAGTCCTATTTGGTCAAGCATTTCTATCCAAGTGTTTCTTGGTACAAGTTCATCCACTGGAGTCCAGTCAGCCTATCTAGAGTCACTCCCCTAAAGAAGATCAGCTCTTCCTCACCCCATAGTAATCATTTTCCAGTAGTTTCTAGGCTAGGGTTGGGGCCTGCACACTCCCGGCTCTATGCTGAGTTTCTGTCTGAGTGAGTCAGCATGGGTCTGGTGCATGCTGTCAGCATTGCTGCGAGTTCATATGAACAAGTTTCCAGTGGCTCAATCTCTCTCATATTTCGAGACAAATGAAATTTCTCACTGTATGCTAAATAAGGATCCTCATATTTACAGACAGATTTATTGTACACCACTAAACAAAGAAACTTCTTTTTCAACAGATGGAGGCTATTACAGAGTTCCACAACTGGTCACACATAGAGAATATATGTCTGAGAGATGCCCAGCACTAAGGGACTTATCTACAGTGGAACCTCTATACCTAAGGCTCATGGAACATAGTGGAACAAAGGGTAGAGAGAATACTAATACTTCCCTCAATTCGTACCAACAAAGCTTCCTCATACAAGAGAGTGTGATGCACACAGATGACCACAGCACAACTGTCCTTATGGCACACTCCTTTAATCCCAGCACTCAGGAGGCAGAGGCTGGCAGATGTCTGTGAGGTAAAGGCCAGCCTGGTCTATATAGCAAGTCCTAGACCATCTGGGGCTACAGGGAGACCCTGTCTCAAAAAAAGACCAAGAAAAAAAAAAGGACTCCTGTATTAGACCTCACCCACCCATAGCTCAGAAACCTTTGCAAAAGAGGGGTAGAAAGATCATAGGAGCCAGGGTTGGTGTATGAACATAAGGAAACAGATTATTTTCTTTCAGAAAATTACTGGGGGGTGATTATTATGAAAAGTATATTTTTAAAAAATCAGAGCTTGTTTAAATAAGTTTATGTTAAAATCAGTTTTAAATATTAAAACTATGATAAGATACTAATAAATATAACAGAAAAAGAAAAATACTTGATTCATAATATTATGCATTATATGTTATTGTAATGTTTACTTATTCATTGAGTATAAATATCAATTAGTCATTTTTTCTTAATTGGATTAAATGATTGATTATGAAGAAAAAGGAAAAGAAAAGTGATAAATCACTCTACAGGTAAATAGAAGAAATCCAAAAGCATATATAGAATAAATTGGTGGTTTCAGTCAAAGTGTCTATGGAACTAAGGTAATTCTCTAAGACTTAATGTTTACTTATTCATTGAGTATAAATATCAATTAGTCATTTTTTCTTAATTGGATTAAATGATTGATTATGAAGAAAAAGGAAAAGAAAAGTGATAAATCACTCTACAGGTAAATAGAAGAAATCCAAAAGCATATATAGAATAAATTGGTGGTTTCAGTCAAAGTGTCTATGGAACTAAGGTAATTCTCTAAGACTTTAAGGCAAGAGGATAGTATTCTGGTCATAGTGCTAAAAGCATAACTTTAAAAATATTTCCATTATTTGGGGCTGGAGAGATGGCTTGGCAGTTAAGAGCACTGACTGCTTTTGTAGAGGACTCAAGTTCGATTCCCAGCACCCACATGGTGGCTACAAACCGTCCTTAACTCCAGTTCCAGGGGAATCTGAAGCCCTCCTCTGACCTCCGCGGCATTGCACGACATGGGTGCACTCACATACATGCAGGCAATGCACTCACACACATAGAATAAAAATAATAAATAAAATATTTTTTAAAAAGTGTTTCCATTATTTATACCAGACAATTTTAATTTCAAAGGTAACATATATGTTCACATATGTTTGAATAAATTATCTTTTTCATTCACTAAAATAATGAGTATGACGTAAATTTTATATTTACCTGAAAAAATGCATCTTTCCGATGTAGAGGTACGCTCATGAAAAGTGTAACATAATTTTCTGCAATTCTATCAAATAAGCAATCTTGATCTTTTCTGTCAGGCTTAAAGAAAAAGCATACATGAAATTAAAGTCAATGTTACAATTTATATTGGGGAGTTACTTGTCTAATAGCAGTAACTTTATCCGTTCTTAAAAGGGAAGGACAGTTGGTGTAATGGAAGAAGCATGAGTTGGCATCATGCAGAGTTGAATTTGAACGGCAGCTCCATTATTTATTATTGCTACACTGGGCCAGATATTTTATCCTAGTTTCTTAGAAGAAGGTTGCAAGTAAGATGCTTGTTCTATCTTAAAGTATCACTAAGATTAAACAATGACAAAGATATATTTTATACAATTTCATATTTCAAATTCTTAAATAGTGCCTGGTACATGGGAAGCACATAGACAGTTCAGGAGTTAATGAAGATTCTTGCACAGTAGTTATTATGCAGAGACAATCAATTATTTAGTTACTTCCCACTTTTTATAACAATTCAAAGTTTTTCCCTATCAGCAACCAGAGCAAAATTAAGGCAGTTCAATATCAGCAAGAGTATAATAAAATCCCAGTGTTGCGTCTTAACTTCTTGCCCTATTATGCAATGAGAAGATGAGAAATAATCTAAGTTCTGTCTTCAAGGAAGATAAATAAGAGTTCACATTCTCTTACAATGTGAGCTCTAGAAGCACAGCAATCATCAATGATATTTGGTAATTGAAACGTAAAATGTCAAGTTTAGTGGTAATAGAAAACAAAATGAAGAGGGATTTAAAGTTGCAGAGACTCTTAGACTTAAAATGAAGTTCTGTCTCACTTAGCCTAAAGTCTTCTGGTTTACTGACTCACTGATGCTCAGAAAATCTCAGAGGCTCAAGACTACCCAGCTAAGTAATCAGGAACCACAGCAAGTTGAGGTCACCTAAGTTCCAATGCAGTTCTCACAGCTCTTTAATAGCTTCATGAAAGATCACAACAATGACAATAATGATAATGATGACAGCATTTCTTGACCACCTATGAAATGGGCTCCAGTTCTGAGATAAAGTTAAGAACACACTTGAGTATGTCTGTGCAGGTGTGTCCAGAGAGGATGACCTGAGGGGGAATCCCACCCTAAATGTGGGCAGCACCATCCTAGGGGCCAGAATCCAGTAGGACAGAAGGAGGAAAGGAGAAAGCGGCCAAGCACACAATCCTCTTACTGCCTCTGCACTGGTGTGCACTGCTCGGCCACACCTTCCCTTGCCACAGTGCCCGAGTCTTCGGGAACCACGAATAAAGTCAGTCCTTCCTGCGTTAAGGTACGTACTTCAGGCATTTGGTCAGAGTGATAAAGGCTAGCTAACACAGTACTCTTTTCTTGTATTGTTTTCTTTCTGTTAAGTGGCTAGTGCTGGTCCCACTTTCATTTCTGGTCTTGCTATGCTATGCTATATTTATGTTCTATTTTTGTTTTCATTTTCCCAAGGTATTTTCTAACTTCTGTTTTATTTTCTGACTCACTGGTTATTTAGGAACACGGGGCTGTCAAATTATACGCCCATGTGGAAAATAATTTGACATTATCTTGTTAAGCTAAAAAATTTTCTGCCCAACAGTCCAGTAATTTTTTTCCTTTGCATCTTGTAATAATTTCAGCTTGAGCTGAACAAATTTAATAGGCCGGTTCAAACTGCAGTGCGCAATCCTGTGCTGAGAAGTATGTATGCCTCTTTGGCTAAGCCGTTAGGGGCATGAGTCAACTAACTTGAACTGCTTTTGGATTTTGCTTTTCTAATGCTCATCCCCAGAAGCTTCAAATTCCCTGTTGCATTAACTTGGTTGAAGACTTTTCAAAGAAATCGTGATTTTCCTCTGCTTTTTGGTTTTTCTGCTTTTATTCGAATTGGCCGGCATCTGATCGCTACTCTCCCCTTTCCTCTGCTTGCTTTAGCTTTTACCTCATCTTTTTGTTCTGGTTTACTACAGTAGAAGCCAAGGTCACAGTTTCAGAGAACCCTTTCCTTTTTCCCCAAATGTAAGCATTTTAATGTTATAAGATTTTCTTTAAATATTGCTTCACTTGTGTCCCACAAACGTTACTTCATGTTTTCATTTTCACTCACTTCAAAATAATTCCCAATTTCCTTATTGATTTCTGGTTTCACCTGCAATTACTGAAAAGTGTATTAATTATAATTCAGATTTTTGGAGATTTTTCCACATATCTCAACATTTTGTCTGAAAACATGCTTTGCATGACTTCAATTATTATAAATTTATCAGATACTTTCCTAGTTCAGAATCAGATTTCTCTTGGTAAATCTGTAATGTGTACTTGAGAAAAAGATGTACTGTGCTGCTGTCGGGTGGTACTAAGTTTCAGATGTATCCCCCAAATTAATGTGTTAAATGCCTGATTTTCAGGGTGGTGGTACTGGGGGTGGGAACAACAGCGGTACTGGGATTACAGCGCCCTGCCCTTATGTTTGAAATCAATATTGCCATGGGAACAGCTGCACCTCCTGGCTTCTACTTCCTTTCTCCCTTTTTCTGTCACTCCCTTGCTCTTCCATCTTCTCCTATGGAGTAACCAGTGAGAAGCCCCTTGGATATTGGGCCATGTAGGCTTGTACTTCTGAGCTTCCAGAACTGTGAGCCAATAAAGTTGTGTTCATTATAAATTTCCTATTCTGTGGCATTTGGTTGTAGCAATACAAAATGAACTAAGACAGAAGAGACGCTTTGTAAACGTGAATGCTGCTCAAGTCTTCTATATCACACTTGATTTTCCACGTGTACTACAAATTATTGGGTACAAGGCACTGAGATCTTGAACTATACCCAAGTATATGTCTATGTTTCCTTGAAGTGTGCTAACAGTTTTTATTAAATGGGTTTTGAAGTACTCTTTTGGTGAATATTTAGGATTCTTACGCTGTCTTGAGCAATTAATCATTTTATTATTGCACGGCTACTCTTTATTCCTGGTAACACTAATTCCTTTGAAATCTACTATGTATGATAAATAAATACCTTTTGACTTCACAGGTTATGTCACTTTTCATTGTTGATAAGGAGAAATGATAGAGTTCCAAGATTTTGTATCTCTTTAAATTTACTGTTTGAGAATTTCATACAGGTATGCAGTATGTTTTGATCAAATCCACCCCATACCTCCCTTCTCCCTTCTCCGTAACCCCGCAACTTTTCTCTCCCAACCACATGCACACTTTTAAACCCACTGAGATCACTCAGTGCTACCAGTATGTGCACAGGGCTATTCACTGGACCACAGGCAGCCCATCAGGGGTTACATCCCTGAAAAAGAAAAATGACACCCCCTCCCTTAGCGACCATCAATTGCCAATAGCTCTTCAACTAGGGGTGAGACTTCATGAGCCCCTTCTCCATTCATACTAGGATTCAGGCTGGCTTTATCTTGTGCAGGTCTTGTGCATGCAGTCAGAGCCACTGTGAGTTCATATATGCAGTGGCGCTGTCATTTCTGGAAAACAATGTTTTGTATCAGTTAGCCACTACTTCTGACTTGTACAATCTTTCTGTTACCTCTTCCTCAATGATCCCTGAACCCTGAGGGAAGGGGATGTGATACAGATGTGCCGTTATTGCTGATACTACATAACCTCTTATTCTCTGCATGATAACCAGTTGTCAGTCTCTGCATTAATCATCTACTACAAAAAGAAGCTTTTCTGGTGAGTGTTGACAGCTGCACTAATCAATGGGTATAAAGGTATGTATTTAGGAGGCAGTTTGATACTACATTCATTTAGCAGAATAATAGTATTAGGCTCTTCCATAGAGTCTATGACCCACCCCACCACAGGTTCTTAACTCAGTTAATGGTACCAGGCATCAGTTCCATCTTGAGGAGCCAGCCTTGAATCCAATCAGGAAGTGTTTGCTTACTCCCATAATATTTGTGTTACTATTGTCCCCATGGGCATATCCTGCCAGCCTAGTCATTATTGTAGCTTAGATGGTCCATAGCTAAGTAGGACTCTTGATCACTCTTCTTTGTTAGCAGCATGCATAGAACCTTCTAGCACTATGAAGCTAGCCAGTAGGGAGAAAGTTTCTAGGGCAGTATCACCTTGATTTATCCATGCCCTATGACTCAAGTATGGCCTGTCTTCAGCATAAATAGTCTCACCATCAAGTACTGGAGGGTAAATAAGAGCAATGGCAATAACCTGTAATATTTGTGGGTTTATGGAACATAAATGACCAACAACTCAAAAAGACGTAACCCACACCTGACTCTGGGCTTTTTGTTTGATAGCCTATGTCATTTGGAGAGGTGTTACTCCCCTGTGTAGGGTAAGTCCATTTAAACCCTTTTAATATATGTGTATGTATAACTTTTAGGAAGCTTATGCAGTAGTAGGCTTCCATGTGACTTTTCCAAAGGCTGTTAGTGTTAGGTATCCCGCTCCCCCATGTTGCCTCCTCTACCTGGCACTCCCATCCCTCACCCCATTTAACACTTCCTGTTCCATTATTTCCCCTTCCCCTCTTCATATAACGTGTATTCTACTGTCACCATCCCTTGAATTTTTCCCCACCCATGGATCCTTTCTAGTTTCCTAATGCCTATAGTTACTCCAAATGAAACACATATATCTAGAGATTCAAAGCTAGTATCCATATAACAGAGACGATAGGGACCCTTTCTGGATCTGGGTTTCCTCATGAAGGATGATTACTTCCAGCTACATCCATTTACTTATCAGTTGATAGACATCTTGACTGTGCCCATTTCCTAGCGATTGTGAATAGAGCAGCAATAAACAAAGCTAAGCAAGTATCACTGTAGTAGGACATTGAATACTTTGGGTATATACCCAGGAGTTACTTTACCTGGGTCATGTGGCAGTTCTATTTTTAGCTTTTTGAGGAACTTCAGAACTGGTCTCCATAGTATCTGCGCCAGTTTGCACTCCCATCAGTAGTGAAGAAGTGTGTGTCCATGGCAGCATTTATTGCCTTTTGTTTTCTTGATCTTAGCCATTCTGACTAGGGTGAAATGAAATCTTAAAAGTGGTTTTAATCTT